TCGACATTTAAAGGCTCCTCAAAATATTCTCGCCATCTACCCTAAACCTCCATCTCCATATCTACTAACTCCCCTACTCTGTTTTTAACTGACAAATCCATTTGTTCTCTAGGCTTTCTTAACTTGTTTAACTCACTCCAAAAATTGTTCTTATTTTCATTAAAATTTCTTGACAGTGCCTCTCCCACTCTATCATCTGCTCTCCTTTTGCACTCTCTCACCACTCTCTTCACCTTTCTTTTACTCTCCATGTACTCTACTCTTCTTATAACACTTCTGCTTTGTAAAAGCCTGTCATAAGCTAACTTTTTCTCTTTTATCACACCCTTCATCCTTCCACCAGTCACTCCTCTTTCCTCCTTCACCCACCCTCCTATAACCACAAACTTCTGCCCCACATTCTAATACTGCATTTTTAAAACTATTCCGACCCTCTTCAACCCCCCCCCCCCCCCACTACTCATACTTGCACCAGCCCACCTTTCTGCCAATACTTGCTTATATCTCACCCTCTCCCTCTTGCTTATTGTTGCCATTTTCCTCTTTTTCCCATCTACCTCTTACTCTAACTGTAGCTACAACTAAATAATGATCCGATATATCAGTTGCCCCTCTATGAACGTGTACATCCTGGAGCCTACCCATCAACCTTTTATTTATTTATTTATTTATTTATTTATTTAGAAATTTTAGCATACAAACAGAGGTACAAAAAATACAGGTAAGAGCAGCATGCCAAAGCCACTTATATGCAAAGCATTACGGGCTGGCTTAAAATTAACTTAAGATTAACTAGGCAATGATGAAATCAGTGATAAGACATTATTGTAAACAGATAACTATAAAATACAAATGAGTATTACAAAGACAGGTCCTATGGTTGCATGCATTGCTGTACATTCAGTAGAATGGAGTATTCTGTTAGGTAGTGTATTTAAAAAAAATAACATTTGTGTGATATAATTGTGAGTAACATTTAGGATATACAATTTATATGGTTCAGTTATTCAGTATTTATTTGAACTTTGAGAAGAGACTTGAATTTATAAACAGGTAGTGTTTCTTTTATATTTAAAGGTAATGAATTCCAGATTTTAGGGCCTTTTATGTGCATTGAGTTTTTGCATAGCGTGAGATGTACACGGGGAACATCAAAGAGTGATCTGTGCCTTGTATTATGGTCATGTGTTCTGTTGTGGTTGGCAAGGAGATGTTTGAGGGGAGGGTTAATATCAGAGTTAAGTGTTCTATGTATGTAATAAGTGCAATAATAAGTATGGATGTTTTGTATGGTGAGTAGGTTGAGTGTTTTGAATATTCGTGGAGTGTGCTGCCTGTAGTGAGAATTTGTTATCATTCTAACTGCAGCCTTTTGTTGGGTAATTAGTGGTCTGAGATGGTTAGTTGTTGTTGAGCCCCATGCACAAATTCCATAGGTGAGATAGGGGTAAATAAGAGGAGTGATAAAGGGCCAGGAGGGCTGACTGTGGAACATAGTACCGTATCTTCAATAGTATGCCTACAGTCTTGGAAATTTTCTTAGAAATTTGTTGTATATGTGTATGAAATTTGAGTCTATTATCGAGGTGGATTCCTAAGAATTTTCACTCTGTTAGTTTTTGTGATAGGTGATCCGTTTATCATTATGTTAAGAGGTTACATCTGTAGCTCTGCTACCAAACTGAATGAAGTAGGTTTTGTCAATGTTTAGTGTAAGTTTGTTAGTCCTCATCCAGGTAGATATTTTTTGTAATTCGGTGTTTACAGTATTGGCTAGCGTGACTGGGCTCGGGTGAGAGAAGACGTATGTGGTGTCATCTGCAAAAAGTGTGGGTTTGAGTAATTGCGAAGCATTTGGTAGGTCATTTACGTATAGGAGAAAGAGAAGAGGGCCCAAGGACACTTCCCCGTGGGACACCAACTGTAATTGGTTGTGCGGAAGAGCTTGCCCCATTTGCGTACACATTGGCTTCTGTTGCTGAGGTAAGACTTGAGGTAGTTGAGGGAGTGCCCTCTAATACCATAGTGTGACAATTTTACGTGGAGCAAGTCATGGTCAACTGTATCAAAAGCTTTACGTAAGTCAATGAAGATCCCCAGTGGGACTTCTTTTTTCTCTATTGCAGTGTATATATGTTCTAGCATGTGTATAATAGCATCATTAGTATTTTTATTAGGCCTGAAACCAAATTGGCAGGGGTTGAGAATGTTATGGGAGATGAGGTAGGAGTAGATTCGTTTATGAATTAATTTTCGAAGATTTTTGAGAGAGGGTGTAAATTGGATATTGGCCTATAGTTATTCAACTCTGTTTGGTCTCCTCCTTTATGGATCGGGGTGACCCTTGCTATTTTGAGAAAATGTAGGGAAGGTGGAGGATTCAATGGATTTGTGTTAAAGAGTGTTGCAATGATTGGTGATAGTACTTGTGACGCTTTTTTGTAGATAAAGGGTGGTAAGGTATTTAAATCTCCTGCCTTGTTTTTCAGTGCGTTGATAATAAGGGAGACTTCGTATGGGTTAGTCGGAGCTAGGAACAGTGTGTTCGGGTAGTTGCCAGTGAGGTAGTCATTTGGTGGGGTATCTGAGCTTGGGATATTATTGGCAAGGTTTTGACCTATAGTGGAGAAGAAATCATTGAGTCTGTTTGCTGTTTCTGTTGGTGGGAGTTGGGGTTCATCTGATTTTGCTAGTTTTATTTCACTATGTTGTGATATCTTTTTTGTTCCCAGAATTTCTGATAGGGTCTTCCAGGTCTTTTTTATATCACCTCGTAAGTTGGATAATCTGTTCTCATAATACAATTTTTTTGCCCTTCTTATCAGGCTGGTTAGGATTGACGAGTAACGTTTTGTTTGGTCTCTGGTTATGTGACCCATTCTGTACTGTTTTTCATATCGGTGTTTTGTATTTATGGATTTGAGAATGCTGGGTGTTAGCCAGGGACTGTTCAGTCTCTTAGCTGTCATCTGTTTAGTTTTTTTGGGGCAGTGCTTGTTATAAAGGTATTGGGTCTTTTTTAGAAAATTATTAAAACATTCGTCAATATCTGTATAGATTTCTAGCTGAGTGTGCCAGTCAATGTTTGTTACTGCTGTTGTGAAGTTATTAATGGCTGCCTCATTGTGAAGTCTGAAGGTGACTTTAGTAGTGTCTTGGGGTATTTTACCAAGAGTTGTTATGAGGAAAGTAGGGTAGTGGTCTGTGGTATTATCTGTAATTATGCCTGATTTTAAAGGGGATATGGTGTTGGTCCAGATGTGGTCAAGTAGGGAAACACTAGTCTCTGTAACTCTTGTAGGTTTTGTTACTGTTGGTAGCAACATGCAGTTACTCATTGTGTTTGTGAATTCCGTAACAAACTACTTTCATTACGTGCTATATCATACCTTGTATATTTATTTATCCTCTTCATGAAATATGTATTACTTATTACCAAACCTCTTTCTACGCATAGCTCAATTAAAGGCTCCCCATTTTCATTTACCCCTGGCACCCCATATTTACTTACTACTCCCTCCACAATATTTTTGCCCACTTTAGCATTGAAATCCCATCCACCATTACTCTCACACTTGGTTCAAAACTCCCCATGCATTCACTCAACATTTCCCAAAATCTCTCTCTCCTCTACACTTCTCTACACTTCCCTATAATTTTTGCAGTCTCTTTTATCCCCTTTGCCTTTATACAAAGGAACTATGCATGCTCTCTGCCAATTCCTATGTACCTTACCCTCTTCCAAGTATATATTATCGTGTAACTCTCTCGCCTGCATTCGAGGGAATACAGATCAAGGACTTTCATCCTTTCCCAGTAATTTAGGTGCCATATCATACTTATGTGTACCGTGAAAGTGTTTGTACACTCTCCAGTTCTGCAATGTCGCCATCCTTGAAGGGGCAGTTAGTGTACAGCAGTATTCTAGTCTAGAGAGCACAAGCAATTTGAAGAGAATCATCATGTGCTTGGCATCCCTAGTTTTGAAGGTTCTCATTATCCAACCAGTCAATTTCCTAGCGGATGACATGTATTGGATGATGCTTGTCGTGATTTGTTTACTCTTGAACATTGGCAAAATTTGAACAATTCTTCTACTTTGAGCTCAGTTTCAGTCTGTTGTCAATCTTGAAACCAGTCAAAATGATCTCTATTTCTGTAATATATCTTCCATTCAATCAAATGAGACCAAGAAACCAAGAATACAATCATAAAAACCATACAGAAGTAAACTGCAGAGTTGTTATTTTAACCCTTGAACTGTCCAAACGTAAATCTACGTTTGCTCGCGTAGCGCTCCGAATGTAGGTCTACATTTTTTTTTACGTGGTTTCTTATGGAGAAAATCAAGGTCAGAGCGCTATGCATGCAAACGTAGATCTACACTTGGACAGTTTAAGGGTTAAACCAAAAACATGGTTGCCACTATTTTTTCTCATGTACTGCGTGCTGCAGGATTTTTTTTGTTTTTATATGGTGCCCACGTATCATATAGACCCATTCTCTCATATCTAGGCCCAGATTTACTGCTCACAGCTTATCTGAGTGAGCTGAGCTCACGGCCTAGTCCTGCGGCACTTACAGTGACCTCAAAGCTGTAATATTACATCACAGTCAGCGAAAGGGTTACTCTCTAAGGAATAGAGAGAGGTATTGAGATTAGAAAGACTGGAAATATAGGGAAGGCAGAGAACAAGGAATTTCACTAGATTCTTCAGGAAATGTTTGCTACTGCTGTTGTGTTTCTGTGCTTTATGATACTCTGAAATTAAAGTTTCTGAATATTGTAATAATGGGAGCAGTTTTGAGTGTGTGAGCAGGAATATGTTGTACACTGACACTCTTAATTCCTCTTTATGTTTGTATTTGATAGATACTTGTTTTCTGTGTTATCTTTGTATCTGTTTTTATATAAGTTTATGATGAAACATTGTGAATATATCTCATCAGTTTGAGCTTTAATGTTGACATATTTATTCACTTACCTTCTTCTACACTAGATCATTGGTGACGCATTACCACTAGTGCTTGCGGGCCACCCTCATGATGTGGAGTGCATGTGTACTAATGGCGTTCTGTTGGTGTCATCGTGTCTAGCAGGCATTATCCGTGTGTGGGATCCTAGTACAGGAGAATGTGTGGCTAACATAAACAGACGCAGGTGAGATAATGTTGTTAATTATGTGCTATTGAGATTGAGATCGTGATTTTCTATTTCTAATCAGAAAGCTTAAAGGATGCTCAAAATTTTTGGCAAAACTTAGCCTAGCTGCAAAGAATACATAGTTTAGTTTATTATTTTCAAGAGTCTATTCATGACAGTAGAGAATCCTTTATCTGAAATTACAATATTGAAAAACCTCCAAAATCTTAAAGTTTTTCGAGCATGACATGATGCACCATAAATGGATCATTCAATTTATTGTCAGCAGCAATTACTGATTACTGCTTGGTTTGTGCTCTGTAGTATGAAGATGTTGTTCAAAAGGCCTATGGGTAAGAGTGAAAAGAAAAAGAGGAAGCATTTATATTGATCTATATCACAGAAAGTCAAGTTGTTGGAAAAACTTGAGAGCGATGTTTGTGTGATACATCTGGCTGAGGAATTTGCTGTTGCAACAGTCACTATCAACAACCTGACTCAGCAATTTGGTGTTTCAACAACCACTATCACCTGACTGAGCAGTTTGGTGTTGCAACAACCACTGTCTACCACTTGACTCAGCAGTTTGGTGTTGCAACAACTACTGTCTACCACCTGACTTAGCAGTTTTGTGTTGCAACAACCACTACCATCTGACTTAGCAGTTTGGGTGTTGCAACAACTGCTATCTACCACCTGACTAAGCAGTTTGGTGTTGTAACAACCACTCTCTACTACCTGACTCAGCAGTTTCGTGTTGCAACAACCTCAATCTACCACCTGTCTCAGCAGTTTGGTGTTGCAATAACCACTATCTACCATCTGACTCACCAGTTTGGTGTTGCAACAACCACTGTCTACTACCTGACTCAGCAGTTTGGTGTTGCAACAACCACTGTCTACTACCTGACTCAGCAGTTTGGTGTTGCAACAACCACTGTCTACTACCTGACTCAGCAGTTTGGTGTTGCAACAACCACTGTCTACCACCTGACAGCAATTTGGTGTTGCAGCAACCACTGTCTACTACCTGACTCAGCAGTTTGGTGTTGCAGCAACCACTGTCTTCACCTGACTCAGCAGTTTGGCATTGCAACAACCACTGTCTACTACCTGACTCAGCAGTTTGGTGTTGCAGAACCATTGTCTTCCACCTGACTCAGCAGTTTGGCATTGCAACAACCACTGTCTACTACCTGACTCAGCAGTTTGGTGTTGCAGCAACCACTGCCTACCACCTGACTGAGCAGTTTGGTGTTGCAACAACCACTGTTTACTACCTGACTGAGCAGTTTGGTGTTGCAACAACCACTGTCTACCACCTGACTCAGCAGTTTGGTGTTGCAACAACCACTGTCTACTACCTGACTCAGCAGTTTGGTGTTGCAACAACCACTGTCTACTACCTGACTCAGCAGTTTGGTGTTGCAGTAACCACTGTCTACTACCTGACTCAGCAGTTTAGTGTTTCAACAATCACTGTCTATTATCTGACTCAGCAGTTTGGTGTTGCAGAAACCACTATCTGCCACCTCAAGAAACAGAAGAACAAATTGTTGCAATTTTATACTGAAAGTGATAAATAATAGTTAATGAAAAACAGAAAAATATTGTATAGAAGGAAAAATTAAGATCTTGATGGTGTATTGATGGAGTTCAATTTCTCAGCATCGCAGTGAGCATATGCCACTTAATGTATGCCACTTAACGTAATGCTGTTCATGAAACAGACAAAAGTCTGTCATGATGAACTGAATATTGACAGTATCTGTAAATATTCAGCAGCTGGTTACAAAAATTTAAGAAAAGGCATAACATTATATATTTAACCCTTTCAGGGTTGGTGCCATACTAATACGGCTTGCACGCCAGGGCTTGTGCCGTACTAGTATGCATAAATTCTAGCTCCTTCAAATAGCGAGAGAAAGCTGGTAGGCCTACATTTGAAAGAATGGGTCTGTGTGGTCAGTATGCACAGTATAAAAAAAATCCTGCAACACATAGTGCATAATGAAAAAAAAAACTCCGACTCTGTTTTTGCTTTAAAACAGCGACATTCCAGTGTATTTTCATATGATATTTATGGTTGCATTCTAGTTTTCCTGGTCTCATTTTATAGAATGGAAGGCATATTACAGAAATTGAGATGATTTTGATTGGTTTCACAATGAAAAGTACCTTGAAATTGAGCTCAAAGTAGCAGAAATCTTCGATTTTTGCCAAAGTTCAAAAGTAAACAAATCATGCCATGCGTCCAATACATGTCAACTGGTGAGTCTAATATTCTTTCATAAGTGCGCTGATATTATTTATACTATTTCTACACCATTTCTACACTAATGCAGTAGTCTTCATAACATAAATTTTCTATTTTTTTGTGAGAACAAAAATTCAAAGTGGAAAGCAAAAGAAATGTAAGAGGGGCCTGGGGATATGACTAATGAACAGAAGAAATGTTATTTTAGTGCCAGGAATGTCTGTCTTGTTTATTCTGGACCCTATTTGGAAATTGGCATCTTTTGAAATTTGTGTGAAATTGGCAAAATTGTCAGTTTCTGACCACTTTATTGGATAGTTCAGATCAGTAAATGGGTGGTTTCTTGTACTCATTCAATAGAAAAAATGGAGTTCTAGCGAAATAGTCATGATTTTTGTTGACTAGTACACTGGAATTAGCCAAAAATAGGGCTCAAAGTGGGCAAAATCATCGAGACTGCTAAATTCGCAAGAGCATAATTCCGTAAGTTTTCCATCAAATTTCATACTTTTGGTGTCCTTATGATTGGGAAAAAATTCTCTATCATTTCATAAGATTTTTTTTTTTTTTTTTTTTTTTTCCAACAAATTTCTGACTCTGAGAACAAGTTTAGGAGAGGGCCTGTCGACCCTGAAAGGGTTAATGATTAGTGGTGATAAAGCACCTGCTGATCACGAAGCCTGAAATGAGCTAAATTTATGTGAAACCACTAAAAAACATGCCAATATACAGGTGATTATTACAGATCTGCTAAATTTTAATCCTGAGCTTTAACCCTTTCACTATTGAGACCCCTGCTCACAAACTTGCTTTCAGTGTCAAAAAATATTTAAAAAAAAAAAAAGATTCTTACCAAAATCTTATGAATAATTTTCTGAGTGTTATAAAAGAGAAAAAAATTGCAGTCAGTAGTTACCGAGATATGGAGGCATGAAGTTGACAGAAAGTGAACTACTAACAGCAGCATCAGCGACTGCCACTCTCTCAGTAATATTATTTTTACTTTTATTTATTCTTTTTTTATGATTATTTTATTATCACACTGGCCGATTCCCACCAAGGCAGGGTGGCCCGAAAAAGAAAAAACTTTCACCATCATTCACTCCATCACTGTCTTGCCAGAAGGGTGCTTTACACTACAGTTTTTAAACTGCAACATTAACACCCCTCCTTCAGAGTGCAGACACTGTACTTCCCATCTCCAGGACTCAAGTCCGGCCTGCCGGTTTCCCTGAATCCCTTCATAAATGTTACTTTGCTCACACTCCAACAGCACGTCAAGTATTAAAAACCATTTGTCTCCATTCACTCCTATCAAACACGCTCACGCATGCCTGCTGGAAGTCCAAGCCCCTCGCACACAATATTTTTTCCAGTAACTTTTGTGGCCTGTGAGACAAATACAATGCTTGTTTTGTTTTTAAACAAGTCGGCTGTCTCCCACCGAGGCAGGATGACCCAAAAAGAAAGAAAATCTCCAAAAAAGAAAATACTTTCATCAGCATTCAACACTTTCATCTCACTCATACATAATCACTGTTTTTGCAGAGGTGCTCATAATGCAACAGTTTAGAAGCATATACCAATAAAGATACACGACATATCCCTCCAAACTGCCAATATCTCAAACCCCTCCATTAACCCTTTCAGGATTGGTGCCGTACTAGTACTGCTTGCACGCCAGGGTTGGTACCATACTAGTACGCATAAATTCTAGTGGCTTCAAATTAGATGTAGGCCTAGATGTGATGAGTGTGCACGGTAGGAAAAAAATTTGGGACCCAGTGGCACATTGTGGGAACGCCATTTTAGTACATCTTGCTCACCATGCCTCGTGGTAAGAAACTCCTCACTACTCGGCAAATTGGGACACTTTTGTTCCCCAGTGACAGTTCTAATACAGATGAAAGTGCCAGTGAAGATGAGTTTCAAGGTTTTGATTAGGTTGTGACCAAAACTAATGACCATAATACATGTACCGGTAATAGTGAGGACAACCCAGACGACCCTCAACCTTCCACTTCTGGTATTGGGCCATCTTGTTCACTTTCAGTTGTACCAGAACAAAAGAGGAAACTCTTATTTTCCCATATCCAGGACTCAGATGTGAGCAATGGTGATGATAGTGATAGTGAATATGAACTACAAGCTCTTGAAAACACTTCCAGTAGCGATAGTGAAGTGGAATATTCTCCAGTGAAGCATCAGTATATACAACAGTATATGCGCTCCGGTAGTGTGCCATATGCTATTCCAAGGGGAAGGAGTACATCCCGTGGCCGTACAACAGGAACAGACAGTGAAAATGAAGATGATAGTGTTGCAATTGGGATGGAAAATGGGCATGCATATGGTGGTGGTAGTGTTGGTGCCGGCCGTGAGGCACCAGCAGTGGGCCATGCTGCTACCCACGCTGCTCCTCAACTGATCTACAAGAAAGTCCACCATCCCCCACCCACCCACCACACCAGCCTCCACAACCATAACTTTCACAACATCCACAACCACCTGTCAATATCCAGTACCCACCAGCAAACTGCACCTGGGATTGGCAGGAAGCTGCCAGTTTTGTTCCAAATCCCCATCAGTTTGATGAAAGCCAAAGTGGAATATGGCCATCTTGTACACTTGGGAACAATGCCACTGAACTGGAATGTTTCGAGTTATTCTTTGACGAACCCCTGATGGAAATTATTGTCAGGGAAAGCAACACATACTTCGACTACACCATGGCAAACACATTACTTTCACCAAACTCTCA